CGTGCCATCTGTCTGGCTAAATACTGCATAGATGTAGCATCACTGAAGCATTTGGACAGCAAGCACGGCAATATCTTAGTTCATCCATCTTCCTCCACCCAGGGCCAGGTCATGGGGGGAGTACCCTAAGCCGAGAGCCCCAGACTTGCTTCTTCCCATCTACCTTGGCCAGCTCCTCCAGGGGAATCCTAAGGTGTTTACACCTTTACATCGCCCTTTAGTAAGGTTTCCCCTTCTGTCATAGGAATCAGAGGCAACTTACCAGCTGGGCGACTCGGAAGCTGGAACGTCTGCAAAAAGAAGGAAACAATGAGACAAAATATTGCTGAGTGTTGAATCTGAGCACTCCATTTCCAAGTATAAAAAGAACATTTCCTTCATTTCTGTTCTTTTATCTTTTCAAAAAAAATAATTCAATTCAATTCAAGTTTATTTCTAAAGCACCAAATCAGGACCAGAGTCGTCTCAAGGACCTTCACACAGTAAACATTCCAATACAGGTCAGGTCATTAAGCCAATCAGTAAAAAGTTTCCTATAGAAGGAACCCAGCAGGTTGCATCGAGTCACTGACTCGTGTCAGAGTCCTTACAGCAATCCTCATACTAAGCAAGCATGCAGCGACAGTGGAGAGGAAAACTCCCTTTTAACAGGAAGAAACCTCCAGAGGATCCAGGCTCAGTATAAGCAGCCATCCTCCACGACTCACTGTTGATGGAGAAGACAGAGCGCGCGCGCGCACACACACACACACACACACACACACACCATGACTCACTGGGGATGGAGAAGACAGAGCAGAAACTGGAGACAAACACTGCTGAGGTCATACAAGCAAGTGGACAGAGATGATTAGCAGCTTTGCACCTGACCCAGACTCCCAGCTAAAGGTGTGCACACACAAGGTGTTTTCATTATAGCCCATCAAGTAAATGATAAATGACCCGCACTTGTATAGCACCTCTCAGAGTAAGGACTCCAACACGCTTTACACTACAGTGCATCATTCATCCATTCACACACACATTCACACACTGATGGTGATGAGCTACGATGTAGCCACAGCTGCCCTGGGGTGCACTGACAGAGGCGAAGCCTCTCTTGTCATCTGGGAAGGTGTGTGTGTGTGTGGGGGGGGGGGGGGGGGGGGGGTGTCTGAACGCCAGCCGCTCTCAGTCCAAAATTACATAACAGACCTCCGCTGCACATTGTTATCATCACCCAGAATCCCCGTACGCATCTCTTCAGCCCACTTAACGGATTACTGCACATGAGACGTGGTAAAAAAGCATTTTAATTAAACACTAATCGCCTCACTTTGTCCTACAGAACCTCTCCAGGACCTAAATCTCCAGCTTTATCTGCCCGTGTAATTACCAGCATCTGTTTGGCTGCATTCTCCAGGTAAATAAATCATACTCATACATATAACTTCATCCAATTAAGAGGAAAGTTAACTCTTCTCGTTACAAGCCGTCTGCCTCAGGCTTTAATGAAAGGAATAGAAGAAAATCACATGAAAGTGTCTAAAGTTACTCAGTGCTGCAAAAAAAGACAAGTTTTCATTAAAGAAATTTACATTTCAGTAAAATATGTGGTTACTCAGTCCAGAAACTGTTTTAAATATGGGAAATGGTTTTCACGGGTCTAGGAACTCCGACATGAGTGGAATTGCTACCCTTCTATGCCAGATTACCTAGATTTATGGTTAGTGAAGGGGTCATTTTTGAGAAATCAGAGTCCATCCACACAAACGTTGTAACAAGCTACTGCTATCCATCCCATAATGCACCTTTGCACTTGTGTGTTAACTCCCAGAGGTTTTCACTGATGTGACCCTAGTGGTCGTGTGTAGAGCTTTGATCTTACGGCGCATTATCAGTTATTCAAACAGGATTTTAAACTCTACATGAGCTCCTACAGGACGAATGGTTCTGTAGCAGACAGGATAACGACACACAGACACTGTTTTCACTAGGCTAGCTACAACGATGCCCCAATCTGAGGTCGAAGGTTAAGATTGATTTGTGTTATTTAGAAGAAGGAAAGATGATGCTTAATTGTTAGAAAGTTTAAAAGCAGAGGTCCAGAATTAGCAGCACTGGCTACGTTTTCACTAATAAAGTGCAAGAAATTCCACTTTAATATGAATTATTTATTTTTCTGCTCTACAAACAGATACTTTTGTTTTCCCACATTTGGATCGTTGCTGTTTTCCACCCACACTAAAATCAAATCCCACTCAGAAGTTTGCACACACTCAAAATAATTATTTTAAAGATGCAAACAAAAGAAAGAGCTTGGTCCGTGTGCCAAGATTATTGGAAAAAGACATGAGGATATTATGTATTTGGTTTTTTTCCTTGAGGCAACATTTCTTTGTCTGTGCTCACCTTACGTTTTAATTTGGCTAAAAAGATGGACAAAAAGTGTGGAAGAGAAGGAAAAAGGGATTCAGGAAGTTAAAACAAAACAGACTCAAAGGATCAGAGATCAAACAATCAAAACTTACTCTGGTGTGTCACATATGCTCATTTTGCTGCACAATACTAGTAAACTAGGACGTTCCACTAAAATGCAGCATTATGGGGAAGATTTTATAAATAGTTCAGCCAAATCTCCATTTAAGATCTAGTCATTAGCAGATCAACATTGTGCCAAAATCAGATTCACACAGTTTTTGGCTTAATTAGCGAAAATCCTAATTTAAAACTTATTTTGTGAGATTTGCTGTAAATGTAAAACTTGTTAAAACATGTTTTTGTTAGCTTGTGGAAATGTATTCAAATTGTTTATAGTCATTTGTTTTTGCTTTTAAAGTGCAATCTGTAAGAATGAAGTAATATCGACACCCTGTGGTCAAATGTGGTTACTGCAGGTCATTTTTCTAAGCAAAAGTCACGTTCTCATTCCCGTTCCGCGAGTTTCTGGCTGTTGCCAGTTACGGAGCAACACCAGAACATTCTAGATGACAAGTGAAGATGAGTCATACACAGCACGCTGATAAGTAGATAAGTACATTGTCATACGTGGTGCTAACACTCTTGGATGTTTCATGATAATGGGCTTGACACATGGGAGGCGGCATCGCCTCTCCTCCATTCATTTTCCATGAGACATGCACGACAAAGCGATATTGGCGGGTCTCCCTCCTGCCAAGCGGCACGCAAAAAACGTGTGTGTGAAATGTTGTGCTCGTGCACGTGTTGTGCACAGGCGAGCCAGAGATGTGATCCCAGAAAGTAAAAAAAAAAGTCAACTTTTAATCGCTGTTGCTCGGACAAGGACCAATCAGCGGACGTTTCATTGACTGACCAATGCGCAGACAGGATGCTCTCAGTATATCTCCAGGCAAATGTCAAGGAAAAGTTAATAAGAGTTGCCATTTTGGATTTCCCAGAGCTTTACAACAATTATACAAAAGAATTTAGAGATCTTCACAAAAAGGCAGAGGCATGGGAAACTGCCGGTGAGTTGGTTTCTGTTTGTAATTTGGGATGAGCTCTAGCAAAATCTTTCCAAACTTCATATCTACCGCTTTTTCACCTCTGAACTGCTTTAATAACCAAACGCTCCCTCCAATCTGATGGCCAATCAAAACAAGGGAAGACTTGCTGTTGGCCCTGTAGCAGATCTCGTCGCTGGCTGTTGCCGCTGCTGCATGTCGCCTCCCCTGTGTCAGGTAGGTTATCAAAGCGACAGCGTTCGCATTGTTCGCTCAAGATTAGCCTATAAACTTTTTCGCTCAGTATTAGAATAAAACAAAAAGATGCCGTGGCTTCTTAAGGGTACAAGGAATGACTTGTCGCGCCAGTTCACTGGCTTCAGTTCTTTAAACAACCCTGAAGCTTTTAGCCTGCTGGTGTTGAATTACGAATGTCGGCACTGCAACGTTATCTTGGAGCAGACTCGTCAAACTCGCGGGTTTACAGATGAAAGAAGAAAAATAGAAATCCTCCTGCCGGCTGAGAAGGAAATCTGTTTCAGTCAAACCTTCTTCCAACATGATTGAGACGTTAGACTGTAAGCGTTTCACCACAGAATTCTTACATGTTGCTCCTTTTGAATTCTGATTAATAAAAGATGGTGGTACCGAACGCTCACGCATAAAAGCCAACTTCTTCTAGTGGGTTTAAACACTCTTCAAATATAAGCACAGGATGACATCATCCTTCATTAGCTGAAGCGCCTCCACCCTGTTAGCTGGAAAAAATGTGTCTACATCCGATTAAACAAACAAGAGTGAACAAGGAGACCGATGAGGATGGAAAAGTGGACAAATCTGATAAAGTAAATCTTTGTAACAAAGAACTGAAAAGTTAGATCATTTATGTTGCTAAATAAAAGCTGTTCCTTTGAAGTAAGGTATCTTTTCTTTGTGTTTAAATAACAATAAAGCTATAGAAGTAAATCTGCTCTAATATTTAGCCAAACCTAAAGAAATACCTCTACTGTGCAGGGTTATTACTTTTCTTGTTATTAAAGTACAAATTACTAAATACTTTTCTAATGAAAGATTTTGAATTTGAATTGAACTGAATTGAATGAAATTAACCTGCTCCAACGATTTTCTCGTCATGTTTTCATTTAGCTGAAGTTCTAAATGAAACTTTTTGTAAAATAAGTAAACCTGCCACCGCTGCTAACAAACCCACAACTTGATCATCTTCACACCTGAGCAGCCAGACCTCATTCAGCCTCAGACTAAACAATAAATTATTCCTAAAAGGGTAGTTACCTGTGGGAATTAGAGCAGCGGTGCTCTCCGGTCCAGCAGGAGGTGAAGATTTAATAAGCTGTGTACTGTCTGCAGCTCTTTGTAAAGCACAGCCTGACACCTCGCCGGCCTCCTTCTTTGACTCCTGGATGATCTCTTTACCATCCCCCAGACTTTTATGTTCATCTGAGCTGTCGTCAAACACAAACTCTTCTCCCTGTTCCTCCTCATCCTCCTCTTCTTCCTCTTTGGGTGGTTTGTGAGACATCATAGCAGACATAATTGCTAAAAAAAAAAAAAAAGAGAGAGCGAGTCAATATTCATAATTTATACAATGCATTCTGTCAGATAAAAAGAAAAAAGGGGGAAAAAAGCTTCAACATAAAGAAATATACATATTTGTTTTTACAAAATGTTTAAGTTTTTCCCACAAACAGCAAATTTCAAATATATTCCCTTAAATATGGTCACTGGTGTCAGTATTTGATACTTTGAATGACAGGTGTCTTAGTTTTCGATAATTAAGTAATAACAATATTAAGGCTGAAAATTTTGAATCTTCCTTTGGGAGTTTTGAACACTTTATTAATTCACAACATATCAGAAGTAAGATTCTGATTTGGGCTCCAAACAATCACACAAACTACATAATCAACAAACATGAGTGTCACATTCTTCTTTGCAAGTAAGCTCTTATTTTGATTTGCTCCCAACTTCCTGCTAAACTCACCATCAGTGCAAGTAAAGATGTCAGAACGAGGGTAAAACACACCGGTGGTGTATTACATCTCAAACAAATGTCCATTTTTGATACCCACACACACTGTGGACTGGTGGACAGTGATACCTTTCTCATTTGGTTCCATTTTCAAATTTAAATAATTTTCAAAATTATAAATACAGCATTTTGTGTAAACACATTTTTATGCTCACCAACTCACTGCTTGTACATCTGGCTCAGCTTTGTTCTGCTTTTACAGCAGCGTTAATAAAGTGATGTTCACTTGTTACAGAAATATTTAATCAATTTTTATTCTAAAAGGCTTATACTTTTATGTAGTCAGTTTTAATTATAAAAAACTAACTATTTACACTCTTGTTAGTTTTAATAACCAAAAATTGCACAACTCTGCCCCCTGCTGACATTAGTCATTGCCTGCAGTTTCCTTAAAATTTGAACTCTAGATTTTTACAGCCTACTAGTATTCAAATCAAATAGAAATTGAAATACTGACCAAAATATTTGCGACTCTGACACATTTCTTCCGTAACTGAGCAGCTTTAGCCAGAAGGCAACACAAATATCATGTTGCAACCTGTGACTAATGAGATGCACTTAACGTGAACTAAAATCCAGACATAAATTATGTTGCTATGACTCCCACTCCTTGTTCAACAGGAGATATTTGGAAAAAGTCCAACATGTAAATAGGCTGAAAGCCTGGAATGCTCTTTTTTATCTTGGTAAACATGCCAGAGCTGCTCAGATAAAAAAGAACATTTATGCTAGAAATATGTTTTTGTGTTAACCCTCAGTGTCCTTGTTTAATGAGTAAATGCTCAAAGATAACAGTAAGTAAACATAACTCTTGTTTAGGTGGATGCAAAAAATGACTAATTAAATTAAGACAGTGCAAAATGACTCATAAAACAGATCCTTCAAAGATGAGACGTTACAATTTAGTTACTGAAAACAAAATATGCAACATTTTAGAACTCAATTTTCCGTCTCATAATCAGTGGTGAGTTGCATCACAGCAGGTCCAGTACTTAAAGGAATTAAGTTCACTGTGGTTCAGTGCACTAAACCATTAGCAGTCTCCTATTATAACAAACAAGATAAAGATATAAATAAGTCATTATTTTGCTTATAAAATATCACCTTACTCCCTTTAGAGTGGATTTTCTTTTACCTTATTTGGCAAAATAACATAAATCTCCCCAGTGTGAGAATCATATGTTTGTTAGATTCCCCAAAAATTATTTTAATGTAAATCAATCAATAAACAAACATCAATTACAACAACAACAATAATAATAATAATAATTATTATTATTATTATTATTATTATTAGCTTTTAATATGTACCACCAAGAATTTCAGAAACAATTATTTGGTTTTGATCCAGAGCATTGTTTGATATTGTCAGCTACAGTCCAATTCCAATTCCAATTCCAATTTTATTTATAAAGCGCATTCAACAAGGCATTACAACCAAACAAGGCGCTGTACACTAAAAATATTAGTTAATTAAACCGGCGTTATACAGTCATGTAGAACAGAGATAAAAGATAAAAAGCAAAAACAACAAAATTCCTAAAACCAACAGTTAAATTGAAAATAATTATGGAAAATAATGGAAATAATGGAAAATAATTATGTTTTTTGACATTTTCAGAACTCCGGAAGAGGATTCCGTAGGCCCTAATCCTCTTCCGTACAAAACAATAATGACAACTATAAAAAATACAGTAACTAGATATCTCCAGCATACTTGCATACCTTTCTCAAAGTAAGGATTTTTTATGGCGTGCACATCTTGGTGAATCTGACCTCCATCTTGGAAACCCCCTCCTACCCACTGTATTCCACTGTGCAGACCATGGACTGCTCCTTCAGTGGCAGACTACACCCATGATGTAAAACAGAGCGCTGCCGTAGGTCATTCATTCCCTCTGCAGTAAGAGTGTAGCACTCCTCAGTTTAACTGGTACTGGCATTATCCTGGTACACGCCAACATCAGAGCTATATTCAATACCTGTTAAATGATTATGCAATACCTAGATGCACATTTGTATGTCTGTGTCTTTTATACGGTTTCTCTGTGGAAACACAATTTTGTATTTTTATTCTGTTTTTATTAATTTTTAATTGCTGATGGTTACGATAATAGACTAATATTTACTTCATATATATATATATATATTGTCTAAGTGGATGAGCTGCCTTAATGTGGGATCAATAATGCCTATTCCATTCTATTCTATTCTATTCTATTCGAGCAACACTCCAAAATCCAGCATCTGTTTTCCATTGCAATGGAGCTGGAACCTTGTTGGACCTGATGAGATTTTGACAAATTTCTATTGGGAAAATGACAGAATATAGAGGTGGTTTAAATGGATGGCTGCACCGGAAAACTGCCTTCAATCACATCACCTGTTGAATATAAAATCATTATTACAACTTTTTCTTCTAGAGATAAAAGGTCTGTCATGTCTACTTTATCATCTTTATCACATCCCATTTTCTGTCAGCTGAATTCAGACTAGACGCTTGTTTGACCCACATTTCAAAAATAGTGACTGCTTTATGTTTTAAATTGCATACAAGAACAGCTCTTTCAGCTCATCTTCCTCCATTTATTAAGACATTTGCTTTCTGAGGCATATTTAATGTGAAGGTTTTTGTCTACTTTAATGGGAAATAAAAGTTAAGCAGGTTTTTTTGTCTTTTGCTAGTGAGCAGTAGCCTGGCGAGCCACAGCTGATAGACAGAGCTCGGTCACGGGGTGAAATCTACTGCACGCAATTGGACGGAGTTAGGACCAGCATGACATATTCATCTCTATCGTTGACTGTAGCTATATATAAGATGAGAGAACTGAACTGAAGTCCAATGGGTGGTTCCCCCTGCTGAGAAAAATAACAGCAAAGACCAGCATAACTTGTTACGACCATATGTCCCTCAAGCAGGCGCTCTGGAACATACTGGCTGATGATGATATGATACTGGACCAGCACGGTATGTTAGTCCACCAGCTAAACCAGCACCAAAACACACATATGCAGATAACACCTATACTGTTTTATTTTATTTATTTATTTTTTGCTGCTGCAGCAGCAGGGGGTCCACCAATGCTATCTTGGCCGCGCTGACACGTCACTTCCTGAAAATACAAAATGGAGCTGAAAGCAGGGCTGTGAGTGTGGGGGCAGATGATAGAAACTCAGCCAACTCTGAGCTGATGAAGCTACGAGCTAAATAAGCTAAGGGAGGTTGGCGGGCGCTTTCATACAGACAGCTGTAGTTGAGTGACGCTGCAACCCTTTAACTTATAGGCTGTAACACTTTTAATATGAGGCCGAGGTTGAGAACGTCCCTGGAGAGGGTAGGACAGGTTAGAGCTGACGGCTCACCTGCTACCTGTCCATCAAAAGGACAGGTCTCTAAGTCAAGCTTTAATTACATTTAAGTGGATGACTTACTAAACAATTCACTCCCATCAGAGTTGTCATGAGGGTAAACTTGACCTAATAAACCTCAAAAGAAAACCCAAAATGTTTATTTCTGATATTAAAATGGGAGTCAATGGGAAGTTGCTTCTTTCTTGAGCCAGCCCCTAGAGGATGAGGGTGGAACTGCAACGGTCAATCCCACGTTGGCTTCGCTTTTAATAGGGGTAGTTTGCCCCTTGATCTCTAAATGGTCTTTAAAGTGGGAGTAATGGCATGAGTGGAGACTTATTTCAACCAGACTTCCTGTTAGATAAATACCTGGGGAAAAGGTGTTGCCTGGAGGACAGAGAGCGGTACTGAGGCAGTACTCCGGTACTCCACTGGTAAAAAGAGTCGACTCGCTCATGAGTGCACAGAAACAGCAGACTCGTCACTCAGGAGAAGAACAGACACAGAAACTGCCTGCAGGAAGGCCGTTTTTCTTAAAGAGGCGAGCGCCAACGAGTCATACGTGTCAGGTAAGTGGTTGAGCCAGGCGGAGGTGCGGCGAGACTCAGCAGGAGTCCTGTATACTGCAGCCATGTAGTACTGCACTGGTGTCACGCTGCAGCGCTACAGCGATCAGCTGTGGAGCAGAGTTTTAACCTGAAGATGGAGATATCATTCTGGTTTTGTGCTGAAATATTACATTTATAGTAAGTTGCATTAAACTGCCAAAATGATTACACATGTCTACAGCACTATAAAGGTTATCAGCAAATAATAGTTAATTTAGAGGTTACTTGCTCTTTAAATTGTGATTTTTCAACACGTAGCTTGGGTGAACAGCTGCTTATCTACCTCTGAAGAAGACACACAAAGGTAGAATATTTGTTTAAAGATCAGAAAACTGAGACGACATTCTGTATCGGCGTGTTTACAGCGTCAGCAGGCCGCTGCCTCTGTACCACAAACACACATTCACTATTCATCACACATCATGGTCACACTAACAATGACCTTTTGTGGAGGGAAAACTTTTGTTCCGTCCCAAGAAATCTTTGCTTCCACAATTACCAGAGCAGCTCTGATTTGCTCACAGCTCATCTGGCCACATGAGGCAAAA